ACCTAGACACAGGAGAACTATTGTCGTGAAAGTGTTGTACAGTCGATTACGAATTTAGATTGCAGAGAGTTTGTTCTGAGCGCTAAAAGCACTCACGATAGAGCACATTTTGCTTTATTCTAACATAATTAGGACAAAGCATACAAACAATAATTCACTGCCATCCCATTTTCTTTTTGATTTTGTTTGAAATAGTGAAAGCTCTTGCAAGCCAAATACCCACAAAGGAAACAGATCCAGTTAAGAACTCTAAAGTGCGTTCAGTCAAATGCATGGGATACTCTTGAGTTGAGTCAAAGATCAAGCCATTGCAATAAGTGACAGCATGGCAATTTGTACCATCACCGCTCTTCGGAATAAAAAGAACTAGGTCATATTGCTTCAACTTCTCAATTGTTCTTTCTTTCGATATGCCATCCAACATACGCTTGACCTCTTCCAAGGATATGGTTCCAATTCCCTTTGCTGACAGCTGCACTATGTTTGAAATTTCTGCAAGTTGTCTCCTGGCATCAAAAATGCTTAGTCTGTTTGCATTGTCTGCTAGCTTCTGCGCCGACTTATCGAGCTTGAGACAGAAGGCTTTGTCTTTTTGTTGAAATGGAAGTGGACTCAGAGAACTGCCATTGCTACCAAACTTCCAGAGGCAGTCGTCAGGCGCCTTGTCCAAATTTGAATCTCCTATAGGGATTAGGTATCGTTCCTGATACGGTCCTTTTGCCTTTGCTAACTCTCCTTGCAGCTGACAACTGTACAAATATCCTTCGCTTAGATGCGGCTTGAGCCGTTCCATCCTACAGCCCTTGATGATTGTCTCCTTCTCTTGCGGACCACAATAGACAGTAAACTTTGGATCCTCCTCGTCCTCTTGCTCTGTTTCATAACGAAGCCCTCGAATTTCATCAGGACAATACAATGGATCATCTACATCCAACATATCGATTTCATACTTTTCAAAGAAAGTCCGAAGTAGAGGAGAGATATAAGCATGGCCATAGTATTCATTGAGGAGTCTTTGCATCTCTTGTTTTGCCTTAAAGAGCTGCTTCTTCCGCTCTTCCAAAATCCCATAATCATCTTTTTCCTCATTGAAATCTTTGATTAAAGCTGCAGCTTCGAGAATTTTTTCTGTGATCCTTGAACCATCGCCATCCTTCATCGAACGGTCCCAATGAACCCTCTCTTGAGTAACTACAATTTCGCTGTCAATATCCGGAAGCAAGACACCCAATTCATCTCTCATTGTTTTCAACAAATTCTTTTTTTCATCTCTCATCTTCTTTTGCTCTTTCAAAGATGGAGGCCTTGGTCCGATTGGATGTCGTAGATTGTACCGCATGATTGGGACACCAGCATGCTGCTCTACTTGTGCTCTACCAGTATCCATTACTCTGCGATTTGCTTCTTTTGTTGCATTGTTGTCTCCTTCTCCCACGAACTTTTTTACGCTGTGCCTTTTTCTTCATAGCACTTCGCTTTTTGCCGGAAGTTGCAGCAGCAACAGCTCTTGAAGCAGGAACAATCATTGCTGCCTTTCCATGGCATCAACAGCACCTTCTTCAGCAGCCGCAGCAACCTTCTTTGCCTTCTCTGGGGTTTTCTTGTCGCCATCATCCTGCCTATCTGACTGCTGCCTTTTTCCAACATTCGAAGTCATTTGTACTACAGAATTTGCACTAGTAGCAGCTGCAGCCTTCTTTTGCTTTCTCCTTTTTGCAGTGGCAGTAACAGTAACAGTAGCAGCAGGACCAGGACTGGCTCCTTGAGCAGCCCTCCTTGTATCAACCTTCCTTGTCTTCTTATTGTTGCCATCCTGGCTATCTGACTGTTTTCTTTTTCCAATGTTTGCAACGTTTGGAACTGTCTTTGGTACAGGAACTAGCACAGCATCGGATTCGTTGCTGACAGAAGCAAATATAGAAGTAGCTTCACCAGCTTCTTCTCTTGCCTTCCTCGCAGCAATGTTCTCATCTTTCTTTTTCTTTCTCTTCATCCGCTTCCTTTTACTTTTTGTCCATGTCCTGCGTTCTTCCTCTGTTACAGAATGGTCTCTGGCACGCCCCCCTACACCATCCGCTTGGCCCTTCTTCACCATCTCTCTGTGCATCCACAGCAATACAGACAACTTGCAGAATACAACGAGGAGTCTAACCGCCAATGGGCAGACTCGCTTCAATATGTAAGAAAGCAATATCCGTTTGCCAGCGAATCACAGCCTAGATGCGGAGTTCCTTAGCAACCAGTGGAGGAGAACACTGCATGTGACAATCAACAAAAACTGAAAAACAACCCAAAACACTCCTCAACAAGACAAAAGATTCCAAGCCCAACAAAATATCACAAACTTCCAATGAAGAGGCAAAGCACAAACAAGCGCCGATTCGAATAGTGCGGCTGTGTAGCACTCGTAAATTGCTGTCACCAATTGGTGCCACAAACCACTGTTTTCGTTAATTGGACCAGAGAGTGTCCGTCATTCGTACGTTAGATAGTTTAACCTAGAGATTCGCACACATCTTGTAAAATCCCCATGTTTGTCATCGTACTCGTTTTCGTCCCAAATCTCTCGTACCTC